ATTTTCTGCTGTGAATGTGGTGAGACATAATGGAAGATGAGTTAGAATAGTAAATTAGTGAAAGTTCTTGTAATTTTTGTCTCACCTCTGTACTACAATTATACATGTTGTCCTGGGGAGCTCAAGGAGGGAGCTGACCTTACAGTAAACAATGTAGAAACCCCCTGCCACAGGCAGGGAGACCTTCCACTAAGACCCCTTCCACTAGGGCAGGTTGCTCCAAGCCCCTGTGTCCAACCTGGCCCTGAACACTGCCAGGGATGATGGGGCAGCCACAGCTTCTCTGGGCAACCTGTGCCAGCGCCTCAGCACCCTCACAGGGAAGAACTTCTGCCTAATGTCTAAACTCAGTCTCCCCTCTGTCACTTAAAGCCATTCCCCCTTGTCCTGTCCCTACAGGCCCATGTCAAAACCCCTCTCCAGTTTTCCTGTAGCCCCTTTAGGCACTGGAGCTGCTCTAAGATCTCCCTTTAAGGAGCCTTCCCTTCTCCAGCCTGCACCAGCCCAGCTCTCTCAGCCTGGCTCCAGAGCAGAGCTGCTCCAGCCCTCGGAGCATCTCTGTGGCCTCCTCTGGACTCAACTGAGCAGCTCTACCTCTCTGTTTTGGGAACCACTGAAATGTCTCTGATTGTAGGTGCTTTATAGACAGGTTACAGGATTTTCCATTCCTGTGTGCATGTTCCTTCCCTTCTTATTACTCCAGTGTAGCAAACCGAAGACCAGCTCCTCCCCTGTAAGCCAACAGCATTAGTGAGGGAGGATTTTATGGCTTCCAGCTGCTCAGCATCACCACTGCTGTGACAGTACATGGTGAGAGCTCCCTGCCTTGCTTCACCGTAATTAGATCAGTGAAGGCAAATCATCTGTTAAAAACAACCTGGTTGAAGGTGCCTGCGGCAGACTGGGGAGTGCTCATGGGAACCATATCAGAGGTCTTGTAACAGGCGTGAGGCAAGGCATAGTGGTTGCAACTGCCACCTTAGCTGTGTGCCTTCAGCTTCCTAGGTACAGCCAGAGTTTCCAAGGAAACTGGGGATGAGTGCCATGAATAGGTCTCTCCCTGCATCTTCTTGCAGGGAACCTGTGGCGCATGAGCTGGAAATGTCCCCAGCTGCTCTCCTTCTCCCAGACATCCCACTGGTATGCAAGTGGCTGGAGGAAGGCAGGCATAAGTGGCCATGGGGAAGAACAGTAGTAAAAGACCTTGTCTGAGGAGGGTAAAAGGTGGCTAAAGAGGGAATCAGGGCAATAAAGGGTTGAAGAGGCTAGTTAAGGTTGTGCAGGTTTCAGTGAGTGGAGGGACAGTCAGTCTAGGGTACAGTCAGATGTGTTCTGTTCTTTGGGTCTGTGCACAAGGCAGGTTCTGTGGGATACAAGCCGAGGTGGAAAAGCCCCAGTAAGTTTTCAGTAGTCTATGGTGTAGGGCAGAAGGTGGTTTGGAAATGAGGTCAAAAATCAGAATACAACAGCAGTGAGAACCAGGCAAGCAACAGAAGGAAGTGGGGAAAACTCAGACAGAAAGAACAACAGGCCCAACAATGCCCCCTTGTGCAGATGCTGCCCTTAAGACCTGTATATTTTGGAGAGTTCCTTCTCTGGAAGCTGATCGGGGCCAGTGCCTGATGATCTCCAGCTGTCCAGCTGTGGCACTTGCTTGATGCTGCCAACTCTCTGGGGTCATGACATCTAGTGCTTCTTGCTGCTCCCCTTCATTTCTCATTCAGGGTTTCCACCCGCCTTCAATTTGCTGGCATAATTTCAGTGCAGTCAAGATGGTCCGTCCATTTTGTGGTTTCCTAAGAGGCAGCTTGGGGAAAGCAGATAAGAAAGTCCTAGAGAGATCAGCAGGATCAGTTGCTGACATGATGCTGTCGGTAAGTTCTCTTCCCGCTTTCGCAGAGTGCTTTTTCTCTCGTATGGGAGATAGTTTTGTTTCTAAACTTCAAGGAGGACTTGCCCTTAAGGTCATCTCCCTGTTGCTGATGGGCCGTGCACATACTAAGCAGAGGTGGTTGCTACAGCACCGTGGGGTGTTATCTGTCTCTGGAGTGAGAGTCATGGTGTGTAGCTTGCATCTTGGTGGTCTTGCAGTGTGCTCTTCAATGCAGTGTGCTCCTCAGTCACCACTGGGTCACTGTGCTCTTCCCTTCTTTTTCTGTTGGAAAGGGCATTTTGCATTAAGATGAAAGACAGAAACTAATATTAGTATCAGAGTTATTAAAGACTTCAAGATATTACTAATCAGTTCTAATTTAATCTCAGCACCCAGGCATATATAATACTGAAAACCTTTATTAGGTTTCTATAATTGTATTAAAAGTGATACCCCCAGGCTAGTAGTGAAGCAAGTGAAATTGCCCAGCTCTGTGCATGACAGTACTGACCTGATAGCACTGCTGGGGGAGCAGGGCTTGCTCTTTGTTTAATGCTCAGTGTTTTACATCAGGCTCCTTAACTGTCAGGGGTTTAGTGCTGTTTCTATTTAAGAATGCCTTCTGTGTCATTTTGGCTCTGGACCAACAAAACCTAATCTTCAGGCTCCTCGGAGGAGATAGGGTGGGGAAGCCCCAGGAGTGCAGTTCCAGCTGAGATATCTGTATTCCTCTTCAAGCTTTCTGGAGGAGGTGCATGTCCCTGTGGTGCCTCAGTTCAAATGGGAGTGCTAGGCAAAGCACATAGCTGTGTGTAGCTTCCTTGCCAGGACCAACACACAGTCAGCACAGAGCACTTTGTATTCCAAACCCTTTTGATACAGGTCTGACTTTTGCACAAGCTTTTCAAACAAAAATTCAGAGGGCTGCTATAAGAAGAAATGCTCCGAGGAACAGCAGCCTAGCACTGCAGATGCTGAGTAACATTTACAACCCCTCTGCTCTGACGACTATTTGCAAACTGACTTAGTTCCTCAGCAGTCTGTACTGTAACTTCACATATGCTTTGTGGTGCCAGCTCAGAGAAGTGATCCTTCCCTCACTCCCATTTCCCTGTGACAGAACAAACATATGTTGATGGGGTGAACTGGATCATGGAGCCAATCCAAGTTAAAATTAGCCTGGCCAAGAAGCTAATTTCAACCTGGGACAGCTTCTCTGGCAGATGAGAGCAGGCGAGCGTGCAGCCCTCCTGCTGCTGCTTTTAGCAGCCTGCTGGCTTATGCCAGTGTGCGGTGGTCTCGTCTCAAGAGCTTTCAGCAGGGTTTAGGACTTCTGGTTTGAGCTGGTAGAGTTGTTTTTTCCAATTTTTGAGATTACATCCAAGTGGGAAACAAATCCACAACCAAAATCGTATCTTGAATCAGCCCAGTCTGTGATAACTTTGTGAATTAATATACAAATATACAAATACTTTGGTTTTAACCTGTTAGATGTAAATGAGCTGCTCTTTCAAATGAGAGATGTTGTAAACTGGAAACAACATTTTCAAGTCAAATAAGATATTTTTTTCCCTAGCAAGGGAGATTTATTGAAACTCCTCCCTGCAGTTCTGGTCTGAATGAGCTGTTGACCTGGAGCTGGCCCTGAGCAGAGCTTGGTGGTTTGGATGTTTCTCTACTGATTTTTCCATGTGCATTCTTGTACCCTCTTGTTTTTCATCGTCATCAACTGTATGTGGAACCTTGCTTTGTGTTAAGCTGCAAGGCCAGATGCTTGCCTATCCGGAATTCCGTAAAGGCTTTGACACAGCTCCCCACAACATCCTTCTCTCTAAATTGTTGAGAGGTATGTTCAGTGGGTGAGGAGTTGTCTGGATGGTTGCATCCAGAGAGTAGTGGTCAATGGCTCAGTGGCTGGATGGACACCAGTGACAAGTGACATCCCCTCAGGGGTCCATACTGGGACCAGTACTGTTTAGTATCTTCATCAACAGCATAGACAGTGGATTGAGTGTGCCGTTAGCAAGCTTGCAGATGAAGCTGAGTGATGCAATTGACATGCCTGAGGGACAGGAAGCCATCTAGAGGAATGTGGACAGACTCAAGAGGTTCATGAGGTTCAACAAGGCCAAATGCAGGGTCCTGCCTCTGGGTCAGGGCAACCCTGGTATCAATACAGGCTGGGGGATTAAGGGATTGAGAGTACCCCTGAGGAGAAGGACTTTGCGGGTACCGGTGAATGGAAGACTGGACATGAGCAGGCAATGTGCGCTTGCAGCCCAGAAGGCCAATTATATCTTGGGCTGCATCCAAAAGAGAATGGCCAGTAGGTCAAAGGAAGTGATTCTGCTCCTCTACTCTGCTCTGGTGAGACCCCACCTGGAGTACTGCATCCAGCTCTGGGGTCCTCAGAACAGGAAAGATGAGGACCTGTTGGAGAGGGTCCAGAGGAGGGCCACAAAAGTGATCAGAGGGATGGAACATCTCTGCTATGAGGAAAGGTTGAGAGAGTTGGGGTTGTTCAGTTTGGCGAAAGAAGACTCTGGGGAGACCTTATTGTCTTATTTAAGACCTTTCGATTCTGCATTTTTTTTTTGGGGGGGTGTGGGGGTGAGCTGCTGAGGAGTTCAAAGATTTTTGAGAGACTTTCTCTAGTGTAAGAGATGAGCAGGTCGTTCCTCAAGGCGCTACACAGGTGAACATAAATCCTAATCTGAGGCATTGTCTTCCCTCATGTTCAAGTTATGATGCTCTCAGGACAAGGAGTACAGTGGAAATGTTGCCTCTTTGTGCATCTTTAGGGACCCTGCTGTGCTTTTGACTGTGGTTAGATTATTCTGCGCTCAACGCTCTTAACACTGTTAAATAAATTAGCAGCTGCTAATGTGATGTTATCCAAATTTAGGTGAAACAGTCACAGTGTCCTTGAGACAATAACTGAGTTTCACAATGCCATTCCTTATGGGTTTTGTTTCAAAGTTCTAAACATGCTGGTTGTTTTGACATGAAGAAGCAATATTTATTTTTATGGTTAGAAGTTTTCTAATGATTGTATTTTTATCGTTTGCTTTCAGAGTCAGATTTACAGATCTGTCAACACAGAGCACCAACGTGCTGCACCAGAAAAATGGAAGAAAGCTACCAGGCAGCTGTTCGAAGGGAGAGGACTCAAAGTATCCAGGCACTGAACTTTGAACTGAAGTACATGATTGTTGGTCACATCACGGCTTTTCAAGGTAGGAACTTTTGAGGTGCTGCAGTCCTATGAGGAGTTCATAAAAGTATCCTCTTCAGTCAAAAAGAAAGGCTCTGTTTTCTGTTTCTCTTGCACTGTGTGCTGTAGTCACTGGCTTATGGTTTACCTCCCTGTTCTTTGATCCTGCTTTTTGGATGGCACTTAATCTTGACTGGTATTTTAAGCATCTGCCTAAATCTAATTAGGAACAGATTTAAGCTTAGATCTTGTCCCTGGGATCATTTTTTAAATGATTGGTGTGGGTTCTTTCAGGGCATTTTCTAATGTCATTCAGGTGCCTGGTGGCTGGTTTTGTGTTTTGATTTTCTCTTGTGTTGCCAAACCATTTACAGGTGTAAATGAAAATGCATTTATTTGTTGCTGCTGAAGAATAAGTGCTCTGATATGTCAAATGAGAACACAGTGCTCTCTTCATGTCAAGATGCTTCACTACCAGGCAGGTGACATGAAGAGTGATCTGTTTTCAAGAATTATGGCCACACAGTTGAATGTGAATGCATGAAGGAACTGGTGCTGTGAAAGTCTGTTCTTATAACTCTTGCTATTCTCAAAGCTAACTAGCCCTTAACAGGTTGATGTAGGTCTGTGTAGTTTTTTCATACAAACAGTTATTGTACTATGAAAGGGAGAAGATGCTTGGGTAGGATTTTGCACTATACAGTGGTGAGCACTGGAGATTTTTGCCCCAGAAAGGCATTTAAGCATAGTCTGTGATCTTTAAATATAGGAGAGTTGAGTGATTACATCAGTCACTGAGTGATGAATCCAGCTTACTGACTTCTCTGGGCCTAAATATGTGCTTAATTTTAACTCACTGCTTTGCTATGTTTAGTGCTGAGCACCTTCATGCAGTGGGTTTTGAAAACAAAGTAATAGCTATTAGAATACAAAGTGTTGAGGTCTGTATGACTAAGCCCATTGTTACAAGGCAGGTTTTATCATAGTAGCTGTTTTGTCCAGTTTCTTCTATTTGGGTGAAAATACTATGAATAAAAGATGTGGAACTAGATGATCTGAAGGTCCTTTCCAACCCTTACCATTCTATGTGATTGACAAGAAGCGATTGTACAAGTCCAAAAGAGATGTGTAAGGACAAGGTAAAAATTGGCTTCTGCTTTTGGTTGTTTACCTCTTCCCTTTGCTTTATACCAATGAGTGAGAAATGGCATTTTGGTTTATTTTACAATTAATTTCTGTAATTTTCTTAATATCCCCATGATCAAAAAATTGGGTTGGAGGAACACTGCAGTAAAAGGGTGACTGTTGGCGTTGTTAAATGCTGGTAGGTTATTCAAGCAATCCTTCAGTACTATGATTGAATGAAGATAAGGTCAGAATACATTAACCTTCCAGCCCCTTTAGGTCAAGCCTGCAGCTTTATTGTCCATTGCTGATGAAGCCTTTTGATGGCATGAAAGAAGTAGTTGGACATTTCACACAGTTTAAATTTACAAGCATTTTCTGGAAGTGGGTAAATAGGTTGTTTGTTGTAACTTGTTATGGCTGGCCTTCTGTCTGCATTAGGTGGGAGCACTTGAAAAATGGAACTTTTCTCGCTTGCGTTGGGAGCTAGTTTTGTTCTTTGCTTTTCTCCCAGGTGTCAATGAAAAGCCTCTCTTTATCTTGTGCTGTATAAACATTCTGTTGCTAAGAGTAGTACTGTCTGAGATGTTTAGAAGAGGGAAGATCTTTGCCTGGAATTAACTCTGTCCTTTCAGTCTGTTTTGGTTTGTAGCTGTTTTGAATGATAAAGTGTGAGTGTGCCAGAAGCACATTTCAAGTCGGAGAAAAGAAATATCCTTACTTTAGTAGCTTTTGGGTGCCTTTCAGATTTCCTGTTTCTTGGAGCAGTGAGAATTGGCTCAGACTTGCTAAAAGAAAAAAAAAAAAGAAAAAGACGATTTATTCATTTGTAGTGGTGTTTACTTGTACAATTTTCATGCACAATTTACTTTCTTTTAGACATACACATTTTTAGTACTGTTAGTATAGTCAGCAAAGCAGTGGTTATACTTGCTGCCTACTGCTGAGGAAAAGAAATCTTAACTGCTTTTTATGCACTTTTAGTAGACAATTCTGTTAATAGTATACCCATACTGATGGAGTTATTTTCAAGAGTTAATATATGGTGTAAGAAATGGATTTTCAGGAATTCAGCTTTGAGAACATAGTGCTGGGAATTAAATTTCAGTGGGAAGAGAGCAATGTTTCTGGAGTGGGGAACAGCGAGAATGTTTGAAGTTCTCATCTCCTATTCTTTCATGGAAGTCAAAAGACACTTAGTTCTGAGGACCTGCAGTTAGATACTACAGGTATTAATAGGAAAGAGCTTTCTCATCTGAACAGGAGTTTTGGTACGAATTTGATTAAATACCCTGCACTGCCTGGATACAGTTGACTGTGGACATTTTGGACTTGAAGAGATCTTGCGTTGTTTTTTCTTTTTGTAAATAAAAATGTTCTTGAAGCAGTTTTGCCCGCAGCTGAAACAGGACAATTTTCACATGTGCTGAATGTAGTTGTGCAAAATAATTAGTCTGTAGGACCTGATTAAATATACCGCAGACTTGCTATATTTAGGCTAATGCCCAATCCATACATATGGACAGCCTTAGCGCT